AAAGCACAACACTCGTGACATTTCTTTTTTGTCCTTTTCGTAGCTAAGACAATTTGCTGGCCCTTATAAACTTTTCAACGCATCCCATCATAAACACACACACACACAGCTTTCCAGCATGCAATCAAACATAAGTAAATTCGTAAAAAAAAAAAACTTTTTAAAGCGCACACATAAAAAGTTATTTATTCGGAAAAGTTGAGAGCGTTTTATATGCAATCACAACGCGTTTAGAATCCGTGTTATGCACGTAGAGCAGTAAAATAAAATAAAAACAAGAGGAAGAAGTTGAGGTGGAAAAAATCACATGAAGAACGGAACCGGAAGGTGACCACAATCAACGTGCCCCATCTCCGGGCAATCACACCTTATTCCGGTTTCGTTCGCTTCCTTGCTAAGCGATGTTCCGTCGTTCACGCGCAGCTTACGTTACTTTTTCAGCGCGCACGCGTGTGTGGCTAAGCACCGTGCGACGACGCAGTGGCTTTTTTTTTCAGTGTGTTTTTTTGGGCGCGATGCTTTGCCATGAAATTAATAACTAATTGATGGTCAATGCGTGTTTGGACGCGTGTCGCGACACGTGTAATTTTTTTTAAATGTTACACAGCGTTACTAATTATTTAAAATTTGACAGGAAGACATGTTTTTCTTGTTTGTCATTTCCTCAAGACTTAGTATTTAAATCTCAGGTGTATGTTTTTACAATTTTCAAGTCCATAGTCTCAACGTTCAATGAATTTTTTCCTTTGTGTTTGATAATGTGGCTCAGATGTTGTTCGGTTGGCTAATTGTGATTTTCCCTGTATTGTATTGTTACCGCGGTTTCGATTAGCACCATACACCTAGCTCGGAGCTCTGCTCTCGAAGATCAGAATTCAGGATGCATCAACTCTCGTGCCCCGTGCGTGAATGCGTTGCTATACTCAAGGTCCGATCTGCGTGAGATATGCGTCCATTGTGTCTTTACCCCTTGGCGCTTGAGAACCGTGGGTTTCCTTCCGCATCCGCCGTCTTCTCGTATACAATAAGTGTATCACCAGCGCGCCTGTAACAAACCAATCTGAAGTGGTCTCGGAGTGAATGCATGAAGGTGAGCGCTGCGTATTAAGAAGAACAAAACAGCGTGCGATTAATGAAGCGACCGGCATAAATCAACCGAGCACAAATTCTCATACGGGCCCTCGAATTAGCATGTGAACTGTTTTACTTGTACTTACTTGCAAAGCAAATTTAAGAAAAAATTTTTTTTTGCTGTTTGCTTAATTTAAAAGTCATTATAGACACATCGATGCATGACAATAAGTAAATTTACTTTATATTATCCGATATAAAGACAAACACACAATGTACACGCTACAAATGCGTTATAAATTGTCGACAATTCGTTTTTAGCATCGCAATCGCTCGGATCGGATCGATTTAAATGGTGCAATAAAAAAAGTTCTTGGGTGCGGAGGCAACAAAACAAAACGCGAATGTAAGCCGCCTTATTTATTAAATCAATATCCGTATCGCGGGAGCATATCGGTGCAAGGCGTTAGCGTTTATCTACGAAATTTACCGCAACTTCATTTGCACCTTTATTGCACTTTGGGCGCACTTTAGATTTTAATTTTGTTTGATAAATCGCTAGTCGGCGAAACGTAATGCTGAAGTGTTATCACTTGTAAAATCGGCTGGGTTGGTTTATACGTTTGCTTGTCGTGATATTGGCAATAGCAATGTTTGAATAAATTATGTCTATTTGCGGTCGAATCATGAGCGTGTTTAGGTATTAATAACGTCGCGAGAAACCCTCGTTTGATTCCACGCAGTCGCTGCATCTCCTGCAGGCGGCAGAGTACCTCTCGAGCAGTCTGGTCTTTTGTCTTTTGCACCCTTCTAAGATAGGGGCGAGACGCCTACGTGCTTGCCACGCCGAGGAAGCCACTCCGTCATTAGGAAACCTGCGACTTGCGTGTATCGTGCGCGCCCTTGAAAAGTATACGAAAAACCCCAGGAAAGGAAGAAATGCGAAATACGCAATGTGCAAAATAGGCTTTTATGCAACCACACTCACACACATGCATATAAAGTTGAGTTTAGTTGCTCCCCAATGAGGAAATCGCACCGCACGTCTTGTTTGTAACTTCGTCTGCGCCTGAATCTGTGAATGTTATACGAGTCTCCTTCCGTTAGGAAGCACAAGGCATGAGAAAATCACGCACTAAAGGAAAGGAAGCGGGTCGTAATGAGGAAGCACGATTATAAAAAGAGCGCGCGCTTGCGACTTAGATAAGATACCGGACAAGTTAATCACGTTCGGCGGCGCGCGCGCCGCCCGCGTATTGTGTCGCGGGTCGCCTAATTGCTTCGCACAACATTCGTCTCTTTAAAGAGGCCAAATCGTAGCGCGAACGCAAAGTGCACCATCGCGACATTTAGTCGTCCCCCTCACTGCTAAATGCACAAACTTCCTCCTCACATGCGGCGCACAGTCCGGTTAACAGATAGGTGATTAAATCGTATTTATCGTCGGGCTTTTGTGTCACGTCATCAATTCATCACATTGGATCAGCCGGCTTCATAATCACAAGAATCATAATTTTTTGTTTTCTAATTTTGGGCCCGCAACTAATGAGCAATTAGTAAAATTTTGCCAAATTCACCAATTTGCCCACCGAAATTAAGCTATCCGAGCGACTAATTACAATCAGCCAAAAATGCGTGTAATTGTCGTCGAAAAAATATGCCTGTAATGAATCTACTACAAAAAGTCAACACTGACGTCTTTAAATAACATATCGCTGGCTGGCGATACAACGCCGACCAGACAGGATGTGTTCAGTTAGGGACGATGTAAGCAATGTGACGCTAAGTCATCACTTAAACGACTAATTAGATCATAACGCGTACGCTATTTACGATGAGACTTTAACATGTCACATTTGTCAACACATCAAGTACTTGAAGAGTAACACTACGTTCAATATCATTATATTTATTAAATTGTAAGCAAAATAAAATTTTCTTACTTAAAAATTTAACAGTTGTGTTTAGAATTAAAGTAAAGTTAATTAGATATGCATTGTCTAACCGAAATGTGTGCTATTATTAAAACCATATGGTTACACGCGACATATGCTTATGTTTCCTTAGTTATTTCGCTTTTGTTTCCGATTCGTACCGATACGACACACGAAACATGAAAATGAAAAAAAAAACGCATTCCATATTGTTCAGGTGTGTTTGCTGCCTACTAAGATAGAGAGATGCGTTTCCGGCAATGGTCAGCGCCTCATCAAAAAGTAGATCGTGTGTGTTGTGTGTCGGCCGGTAGTTACTTCCGTTCCGGCGCGGTCATGCGAGCCGAACACCACCGCGAGCGGCGACGTCGTCGCCTGAAAAGGAACTTTATTGTTTCCCACACATGCATTCGCCGGTGCGATACTCTTAATGAATAAGATTAACATATTGTTCACGGCGTTTCAGGCGTCGTCTGTCATGCGCTTCGTGCTTTATGATAAATAAAATGTAAAGGAGTGCATCCGGTGTGAGAATTTTTTTATTTTCGCAAAATTCTCATAAAATGATTTCGGAAATACTGAAAAATACTTATATAAAAGGGGAGATGTTGATGTTTTTACCTGAAAGACGTTATTTTCGGATGATTTGCAGAAGAAGTTGAGGATAATACCGGCAACCCTAAGATGTGTACGATTCCCACGATATGTTTCTTAAAGGAGGGACTCGCACGAATGCAAATCTAATTTTTCAAGCTTCTATTGTTAAGGGTCTTCTCTGGAAACTCAGAAACACATTCTAAGTTCTTATATGTTTACTGTAGGAGTTAGTAAAGTAAAACACTCAGCATATTTGTAGAATAATCAAATCCGACGTAATATAAAACTTGTAGGTGTATGAAGCTTGTTTTCGGAAAGTGTCGGCAATATTGATATGCGTGATAAGTGAGTTTGCGTGTGTATACGCAATGCGAATCGAACGAAGTACACGCCCCGCGATAAGAGTCTAATTTCATTTCGTCGATAAGACAGTGCGCGGGCATTACCGACAGATGGTAATTTATTGGTGAGAATTACACTTCCTATGCGCGCACACATCGCTCAAGTGGTGCGGCCATATGGCTGCGTTCAATAAATGTTTTCGGAACAGATAAGAAGATACGCATATCTAATTGGAATATTAACGCCGCTTAATAAGACTTTTGTATTCTTTGTTGTTGTGTTTTTCTTTTGGTGCCTCGAGGTTAAGAAAAAAATGAGTGGAAATTCAACTAATGATGAGTTAATTAGTCGGCCAATTTCACTTTGTACATTTATCCCGAGGAATGATGAAAATGCGGCGTCCGTCTTCAAGTTTTTTTCGCGTTTGTGAATTTAAAAGTTAAAAGAAGCAGTTTCCTTTTTGAAGATGCAAACAAACGGGGGCGCTTCGTGGAGTTGCGAGCGCAATCTGAAAGAGATTGGATTTGCAAGCGCGCAAAAAAAAAGCGTCCGTTTTCTTCTCGCCCTTTGCGTATTTAATTAGAACTGTAGCTGGTTAGGCATCATTACAATAAGAATGCCTACGTCCGTATCTCTCTGGATAGCGACATATTACTCACCGCCACAGTGCGTTAATATGCGCCAAGTTTTATGCTAATATTTCTGCGTGCGGTTTGGTGTGTGTGTGGACGCAAAGTAGTTGCTTCCTTTTGGCTGTGTATGCGTGAGTGTGTGTTTTGAGTGCGCGTTTGTGTGGGCCGCATATGTAAGCGCACTCGTGCGACGCGAGTACTCCGACCGGCCGCCGCAGATCAACAGTTGTGCCCGTTTGCAATGTGGAGCCGCAGGTGTTCTTAGCTCTCTCGTGCTTCTTCCCCTCTTGCTTGCGCACGCTTTCCTTTAGGGCGCTGGGTTTCGGCCCGGTGCTGTTGCTGTTGTTGCATGTGTGTGCCGTGTGAGTAGGAGAGGAGACCGACCCGACCGGATGTAAAGAATACGTTTTTCCGTTTGCTTCAGGTATTGACATGGGCGACTATTCTTAAGTGGGGGCCACCGCAAAATTCATCTGCCTGGGGCTGCGTAGAGGGGGAACCGGTACGACCAATAACGCTTTAACTTATAATGTCATCGGAGGAGGAGACAGAGTTCGGTTTGTACACAGATAAACTCCTGAAGAAAAGCAAAAGAACCAGACAGCGCGTGGACGCCGGCGAGCCACGCAATAGCTACTCGTCGATACCGAACTTCAGTTCGCGGCCGACCTTCCTCGGCAACGGTAATAGTTTGTACGGCGCGATCTTCACGCAACATCAACAGTTCGGTCTTTTCGGACCGGGTTTCGCGCCGGCGAAAATGTTAAACGAACTGCTCGGCAGACAAAAGGCGCCGGCTTCGACAACGCCGGTGTCACAAGTGGGCCCAGTGGTGGATGGCAACAACACAGAGAGCGAGGATTCGGTGAAGTTCGACGCGGTGATACGGTGTGGTGGCGGTGGTGTTGGTGGCGGTCTAACGGACGGCGGCGGGAGCCCGCCTTCGGGCGAACAACTCGCTCACCACATGCTGCGCGATATCCTTCAGGGGCGCAAGCACGAATTCCTCGCGCTGGAGCACGACCTGCGCAACGGCGCACAGGATCACAACATCATGAATAACAATAACAACGAACCGAACAAGGCAGACACCGACCGCAGCCAGGATGCCGCGGATGCTGCGGCTGTGGTTGCGATGAAGGAATGCCTAGTGGAGGCGGGTGTCGTGGGCGAGCGCCAGCAGGCGGAGCTGATGGAGGAGGCGCTCAACGGCATGGAGACGGAATCGTTGCCGTCGCCGAAAGTGGAGCCGTCCAGCCCCGCTAAGCCAGAGGATGCGAAGAAGGCGCGCGTGGAAAATATTGTCTCAGGTATGCGCTCCAGCCCAGCGCCGCAGCAGGTAAACGGTTGCAAAAAGCGCAAACTCTACCAGCCACAGCAACACGATAGCAATGCTGACCGATACATCGATGACGAAGAAGAGTTGATGATGGAAGAGCCCATCCGGCAGAAGCGCGTTGAGAAGAACGCTCTTAAGTCGCAGCTGCGCACAATGCAGGAACAGCTCGCCGAGATGCAGCAGAAGTACGTGCAGCTGTGTACCCGCATGGACCAGGGATCAGAAGAGAGCCAGGAGATCGAGGAGTTACCTAGCGATAGTGAGCAGAGCAAAAGATCGGCGCCCGCGTCGCCAGTGCCGTCAGTAACGACGCCAACCACGACGCAGCCGCCAACGTTGGCGCAGCAGGTGAGCAAATTGAAGATTAGTCCTCCGGGTGGCCGGCCGTTTCACAACGGTCTGCTGCATGAAAACCCACACCTTAGCAATGCCGCCGCCATGTATTTGGGCGTTAGTCACAAACTGATGCTGGAGCAAGAGGCACGTATGGTCAAGGAGGCGGCAGCCGCCGCTTCAATGGCCGAGTCGCAGTCTCATGCCAGCCAACAAGTTCCTCATCCGACCAACAACCACCACCACAGCCACCATCATCAACAGCCGCATCATCCGCATCACCATTCGCAGAAACCCGAGAACTTTGCTGATCGGCTATCAATGATGCGCAACATGACGACACCCACTGGAACCGACCTCGAGGGCCTCGCTGATGCTCTCAAATCCGAGATTACCGCTTCCTTGTCGAATCTCATCGATTCGATTGTGACCCGCTTCCTGCATCAGAGACGGTGCAAGAACGACGCGGCCGCCTCGGCGGAGCAGCTCAACAAGGATCTGCTCATGGCGTCTCAGCTGCTCGACCGCAAATCTCCCCGGACCAAGGTAGCCGAACGGCCCAGCGCACCTCCACCATCATCCGCAAATCCTTCAATCGGTGTGGGCGGCGGAGGTAACCCCCATACCGGGAGCATCAGTGGCAGCAACACACAAATGGTAAATGGAAATGGCCCATGCCATCCGATGATGCCTGCGCATCATCATCACATGAATAACATGCACTCCAAACAAACGAGCGATTTGCATATAAGGCCTCCGATGTTTCAGCCGCCCAAGCCGCCGGGCATTAGCCAAGCAGCGCTGTACGCGATGAACCATCCTTTCTGCGTTGCCAAGCAGGAGAACAGCCCCGAGCAGAACGAGGCCCTCAGTCTGGTCGTGGCGCCCAAGAAGAAGCGGCATAAGGTAACCGATACGCGCATTACGCCGCGCACGGTCAGCCGCATTCTCGGCCAGGACGGCATGGGTATGTCTCCGGCGTCGATGGAGCCGAATTCGTGCCCGTCTCCGAGGCCGCCACCACCCTACCATCAACCGCCTCCCATGCTGCCCGTTTCGCTGCCCACCTCAGTGGCCATCCCCAATCCGGGTCTGCACGAATCTCAGGTTTTCTCACCATACAGCCCGTTCTTCCACGGACCGAGCCATGGACACCACATGGCCATGCAGGTACGTCGCGCTCTTTGTTTGTTTGATCTTAATTCTGTACAAATCGTTTTTGTGAACCTTGTGTGAACAGTTACATGGTTATTTGCAACAGGCGTCGTCCTCGCCGCCACGCATGCATAAGATAGAGCGTGATTCGCCGCCGCTGCATCATCCTCCGACGTTACTTCATCCGGCTCTCCTCGCCGCCGCCCAGCACGGCGGATCGCCCGACTACGGCCACATACGCGGCCCCAACGGTGGTATGAGCATGGACGCCGACCGAAACTCCGACTGCAACTCCGGGGACATCTCGTACGACGGAATGCAGCCTACAATATCCTTTTTATACAAAAATAACATTCACGCATCAACACCAATCTTAGCAAACCGTCAAGTCGTTCACTCTACTTTTATTTCATTAATCCGATATAAAAGAGAACTTGCGGGTTTTCATCAGATCGCTTGAGGTCAAATTCTGTGTCTAACCTTTAAGTCATCGTCGAAACCTTAGATGCGCGCGCTTAAATCCGATTTAAATCAATTTCTACGCCGCGCTGTCCTAGATTACAGACGGAAAATATACCGCGATAAGACGTTTCGATTTCCACGCCAGCCAGTTCAATTTTCCCACCAACATCTACGTGAATAATTAATAACGCGAAAGTGTACAGAAAGAAGTCGCGTGCATTATTAATGAATCTGCAGATATATCGTTTTTTATGCGCACTAGACGCGGGTAGATTGAGTCATGAAGGATAGGAAAATAAAGTAACAAAGTAACGAATACCTATCATTAGGTTCGTAACTTTCTGGACACGTTCGACCAACCCAGCATACATATTTAACTCGTTCTTCTTAGCCTTTCTGCGGAACACCTTGTGAGAATAGCGCACGTGACGTATTGAAGATTACACGATAACTTTGCGAATTTTAAACTTTCATATTACAATCCAGATCAGTTGATTCGCATTGCTAATTTGATCAATTATAGGAAAAAGAAAATTGCCCTCCTTCGCTAACGTTTGCTAATAATCTTGGTGTTGCATTATTATTCATGTACAGCTGACGTTTTTTTTTCTTCTACGATTATAACTGACATATTTGTGCTGATATTTCCTTAATTCCTGTGAACTCGTCGACTCTGACGCCGATGCATCTGCGAAAAGCCAAGCTGATGTTCTTCTGGGTGCGCTACCCCAGCTCGGCGGTGCTCAAGATGTACTTCCCGGACATTAAGTTTAACAAAAACAACACTGCCCAGCTGGTCAAGTGGTTCTCCAATTTTAGGTGAGTGCTATTATGTTTTTTTTATATATTTTTTAATTGCATACAACTCGCAGAAACGGAAAGAACAATTGCTATTTTACGATTATCTCATTTGCACATCGTCGGGAGAAAACACGCGGAAAATAATTTTGTTTCTCCGCCGCGTGCGCACACTGAAAAAGCTGTATGTACCATTTTCGCCGGAAGGCTTGTTGTGCATGCGAAGCATATGTGACCGCGCTGCTTGTTGGCAGCAAAATGCAAACTACCTCGGCACAACAAAGCAGTTTTCCACGGCGGGCATTTGAGTGCATGTGCGTGTGTGCACGGTTTCATTTGCGAATAGTTACCTCGTACGCTCGTTTTTTTTTTTTCAAATGAAAACTGCCGGAAAAGTCTTTTTTATTGCCTTCCTCGGCGCGCGCGCGCGCCTCCTGTGCACCTACGCAGCAATCCGCTTCTCATCCCGGCAAGTAAAAGTTGGAAAACGATGCCGGAATACAAACACACGCACATGCACACACATCGTGATCGACTGCAACACGAGCTGAGCTCTAATCTGAAGCGCAAAAAAGTTGTGCAGGTTTTCGTCATTGACCACACTGTGTGTAATGCACACATCAGTGTTGCAGTGCTTCGATGAACTTGGGAAATGAGGGAATTTAAATTCGCATGTTTGTCGTGTGTTTTGTTGTGCGACAACGTTTTGTGCAAACAAACAGCGTTGCTTCTCCGCTCGACAATCCGCGAGGCGCGTCGTGTCCAGATGATTGAATTTGTTACGCCCGCAAAATGCACACATCGGGGTAATTCAACACAGACCAAATCAAACAAATTACTAACTATTCATTATACTTTTTTTCCGGGGCTCAAATTGGTTGCGTTAAATTTAAATCTGTCAAATAAATATGAGAGTTCTCATTTCAAGCAGGGAAAACTAACAAGATGGTATGTGGATGAAAACAAACAAAAAAAATTCTTAATTAATTTTTTTAATTTAAAGAGGCATGCGCGTTTAAAGGTCGCTTTTGCCGTTCTTTTGCTTCGCGTATGAAAATTTACCGGAGAAGCAAATTGCATAATGACTAATTTCATAATTTCCCTATCCCACACACCAGATTTTCTGTATGTGTGGACGACGTGCGCGAATGTGCGACCATCAAAGTTAATTAGATAGACGGGGGCGGCGGCGTTATAGCGCGGGCGCACACACGAAGAAGAAAAACGCGAGCCCACGGGGCGAGCTCGACGTAAAAGAAAAAGGAGTGCACGAGCCGCTCGGCGTCGTTGGTCTCGCACGCTTTTCGCAGATGAAAAAGAAAAAAGAAAAAAAAAACACACGCGGGAACGCCGGGCAGAAGGGAAGAAAAATAAAAACGCCAACTCTACTAATTAGTCTCAAGACCTTAATTAAGTTATTTTTAATTGAGCAGCGGCGTGTATGTGCGCCGCTGTGATGGCGGAACGAGCAGCATTGGCGGCGGCCACGACCTTAGACCTCAGAGATCTGCCGCTCCGGGCGCTGAAGTCTTTGAAAATTACTAACCAGACATTTCACTTTTCTACGCTTTTAATTCTTTCGCATCTTTCGCTGAGTGAAAAGCTTTGCAAGATCAGATGCAACTTAATTAATCTTATATTTGTAATTATAATTCGCGTGCGCCTGCGTTGCTCGTCATTTTATCTAGGATTGTTCGCAGTGGTGATTACCGGACATTACTATGTAATTAATTAATGATATAATCTGTGTATAGCTGTGTGCGATATGCATAGAGGGAGCGAAATTCAGTGTGGTGAATGGAGGGAAACGAAACAAGCACTCAAAACGGCTTATTTCCGATTACAATTAGAATTACAATTTACAAATTTGGTTCGTGCACGTTATAAACGTTTTTACGCGTTTTCAACATTTTAAAATTTTATTTTTATTTATTTTTTGCAAAAATTTTTATATTTCCCCATATATGGGAATGAAATAAATGATTCCACAAAATTATAGCACCAGGGGTGCCGTATGGCTCCCGGTGAGGGTCGTATCGAGCAATAAGTATTAGAAAACTAGTTGTAACGGTTTTTCGATGCAAGTCGATTGAACATCTGTCCCCTGTGCGCTTCGCGCGTTCCTTACCGTAATCGCCGCACGTCGTCATCCGTCAACGAGTACAGCAAGTACGCGAGGAGGGTTCACGCATTGTTCAAACACAACCATCATATTTGTGTATGTGTGTTCTATGCTTTACACACACCGCACGCTAGACAGACCCTCGCTCGTAATGAGAACTTATCTTGGTAAATCAAAATCTCTTATTTCAAACTTACTGCGCATACACATTCTAATCATCATAATTATGTGCTTTGCTTGATTTATGTTGAATTTTCCGCGGCACATGCCAACACAAAATATGTAATCGCATCGCGGAAGTTGAAAGTGGCTAGCAAAGATGTGATAATTCTTGACTTGTTCGACTCGTGACAGTTACTTCCTTTCGTCGGCTTTATCGCTGCAAACCCGCACATAAATACGTATTATCGTCTCCGCCCGTGCTGCGTCAACTAGTCATTTAAGAAAGTTATTAAAATTTGTGTTAGAAGTTTAAACTCAAACTCAATAACTCAATATAATACTTTTTTCGGGTCTTGGTCGTTTTTATTTTTTTTTTCGTTTGTACAGCTTTCTTTTTATCGTCTTATAAGCAGTAAAAGGAAAAGCATTCAATTCATTTTAGAGGCACGTGTAAAACGATACAATAAAGCACGCGTTCCTTACGCGTACAATAAAACACAATGCATGGCAAACGTCTTGAAGACGTTCGGGGAACTACGAAGGGGACGTGATACATGAAAAACGCTCATAAAAACACGCTGCGAGAGACTTGTGGACTTTTGAGGAGGGTAAATCAAAAAGCAGATGTGAATCTTTTGTCATGCGCGCGTAACGTCTCCAAGAAGTTCGTTGCAATCGCATACGGCACCGGGAAGCCGCAAAGAAAGCGCCAAGACGCTCCCCTTCTTGTGACCCTTCGTATTTACATTATTTCGGCAGCAATGACGGTTTGCCCATTTGCAAACTCGCGCGCGCACTAGAACCTAATCTATTGCAGCGCGTACCTGGTTTCACCTTGGCGCTCAATTCAAGGGTTGACTTGCTGATGTGAATATGCTTGGGAACCGCCTTGTTGATCGCTTCCGACGGGAAAAGTTACTACTTGCCACACAGCAAGAGTAAGAAAGGGCATTTCTTTGCCGATTTTCACATTCGTTTTTGCTCTACGTACCAAATCGAGGGTGCACTGAACTACATGCCGGCTAGAAACTTGTGAATTTTAATTTTAACGGCAGGTGGTACAAGATTATACGTGTACGGTGTGTGCGTTACCTTTGCGACTTACTCTGCGACTCTCTCTTTGTATTTTGTAAGTCGTCGCTGGCACGACGTGCATGCACAATGCGTATGCGGGCTTGAACTCAAACCAGGTTAAAAAGAAATTCGCTCGATTTACAAGTTGTTCCAATTTTTCGGTGGATACAAATCGCCATGAGCAACAGTTGATAAGTAAATAATTTACCAGTTCTAATACGGTATTAATTATGTACGGCCAATTGGCCTATAATTGGTATTTGGGCATACAGGCGTGTGCGAGCGGGCCGGGGTATGACGTGACACCGCAAACGGCGATGCTTCGTGTGTTGTGTGTTGCCGGCTCAATATTGATAGGCGATCGAAAACGCGCACGCAAATACAGTGTTTAACTCTCTGATCAAGCGACCGGCCGCAAATTATGACAATTACAATTAAATTATATAATTGCGTAATAAAATATCAATTAATAATGCACGCGCTTAATAGCTTCACTTTCGATTTCGACGCGCGCTGCATTACCGATATCGAAATCGAAACTATCCGCAAAACAAATTAATCCAGAGCGACACATGTCGAGTCGTGGTTTGATTTCGCACCGAACAACATACACAACATACAGAAATGCATCTTGTTAGTTGGTGAATTAGTGATGTGCCACGTTGAGTGTCGAGTTTTCTCGCATCGACGACCCGTGACGATTAACAGCTGACGGCTGATTCAACGAGTTAAAGTTGACACGAATCCGCGTACGCTCTTACACCATTTTTTTTTCTCTCGCGCGCGTTGTGTTTCTTCGCAATTCGATTCGTTAATTGCCACTTGCGTACTCCACGTGCTCGACTAGTACGGTGTTGCTGCTGTACGGTGTTTATCGATGTAGACGCAATTACGATACGTTGTCGCGTACGCGTTCGTTGCACGTTGTTCACCTCGAGCGTCGTGATTCGTTCGCGAAGTTACTCCGGGCAGAAGTGCGCCACTCAAAATTAGCAGTTGTTCTTTCCGTTGCGCTACGTCTACGGTAATGCAATTACGCAACGCTGCCTTTTGCACGCGTTCGCTTCCATCTATGATTGTTGTTATTTATTCGGTTTTTGTTTTTTTGCTGCAGGGAGTTCTACTACATCCAAATGGAGAAGTACGCCAGGCAAGCAGTGTCGGAGGGCGCGAAGAACGCCGACGACTTACACGTCGGTGGAGACTCTGAATTGTACCGCGTGCTCAATCTGCACTACAACAGAAATAATCACATCGAGGTATGGGGCCCACAGGTTCGTGGCTTCCTTTTCCATTGCGAAAGGACCATGGCAATTATTACAATCCCACTCTTATTCTCGCCTAACAAACCGTACATTCGTTTAATTAACACATCCAAACAACACCAGACACCACCGCATGTCAGTTTATATCTAACAAAATCAACGTACAATAAGATTGGGGATGTATAATCATGCCTTGAATGTTGTAACACGTTGCATCTTAGTGTATTTCTTCTGTCCTGTCTTGTCTTGTCTTGTTTTAAAATTATATAAATATTTATTGACAAATGAAACTAATAATTTGAATGTTTAAAGGTGCCGTCAAATTTCCGCTTTGTTGTGGAGCAAACGTTGCGCGAATTCTTTAAGGCGATCCAGGAAGGCAGGGATACAGAACAATCGTGGAAGAAGTCGATATACAAGATCATCTCACGAATGGACGATCCAGTGCCCGAGTACTTCAAATCGCCCAACTTCCTGGAGCAGCTGGAGTGACCGGCGCCGGCCGGCATGCATTGCACGGAGGCGCTGCCCAACGGTAACGATATCGCCATTTGGTAACGCGCGTTACCAATCCACACACACACACACGAACACACATCAACTGCAACAGGGAAAAAGAAGCCACCAACAACACGAAAAACATAAGGTATCGTCATCGTTGGCTAACAACGCATCGCGCAACTAATTATTAACATATTTAGAAATAACAAAAACAAAATGATAACTGAAGATCACACACATAACAAAGCGGCGGCGGCTTGTAACCAGAGCTACATGCCGCCATGACCGCCATCGCTTAACATAATATTATTGAGAATGAAAAAATCCAACGAATCGGTGACGCATGGTGCGTAAGTTTATTAAAAATTTAAATTAAAAATGAAAAAGAAGCAAAAAAATGAAGCTGTCAACGTTTTATTGTTTATATATAATAATATTAATATAATATATATTAGAAAGAGTGAAAATGAGTAAAAGAAAGAGAGTACTAAAATGATATTTGGAGAAAGCCGTTCTGAATCGCGATGGGCAACGCTGTGCGCGTTTGTTCCGGGCGATTTCAGCGGTGTTGTTGAAAATTGTGTTAGGTTGACAGTTTGATTGCGTACGAAAATTGCACAAAACTAAGCAGAAGTGAAGCATAACAATTGATGCAAGAAACAAGTAATAAATAACAAAAAGACTATTGTTAATTACTAAATATCTCCGCCTCAGGCTAAAGCGTTCGTCGCGACGAACAGTGAATTACAAAATTAAGGTGAAAACAAAACAAAAAAAAAAAACAAGAAAAGCGTGAACTAAACGAATAATTATAAATATAATCAATCATGTCGCGCGCACGCACGCGCGATCGATTATAAAATAGTTAATCATTGAATCATTTTACCTGATATCTTATTATAAATAATTACTAAATAACCGGATATTTAAAATTTATATCGGACGAGAAAACGGGAAAAGCTAACCAAGTATTTATTATTCATAATTGCATTAATTGATAATTACGGAGCTAAAACGAGGTGAAGATGGGATAAAATAGATACAAACATTTGTTTTTGTACGTAAGCGAGCTATCAGATACGGTCAAAGTACAATCTGCACGATTACGTTGTGTCTATTTTCTCTTTAGTTGGATTCTTTGTTTCATTTTTAACGGAACTCTCCACATCAAATATTTGTGTTTCCGATTCGATACACTTTCGCGATGGGACAGCAAAGAGCACCGCCATGTCAATCAGGACATGCATGTACATACAAGTGTATATATTATTACTTAGTTAATAGCCTAATTTATATTGAAGTATTATTTGTACCACGATTAATTAACCAAAGTTGATTATTACACAGCTAGTCCATTTGCGCTCGAATGTCTCCATTTCATGAATCGATAATGATTGCGTTTTGGGGACATTCGATCTGTAAAGTCACCTTGCGTGGATAGCACCACGCATGTCTTACTCTTTTTGAGTGAGACATGCGTTGTCCTGCTGCGTATGCGTACTTGCCCACACGATTCGAATCAGATTCGATCGATGTTTTTATATTATACGTTGTATTACGTTGGCATGCCCTTTATGTTAAGTTATTTATGTTTATTTTGTACATTTCCACATTCTAATATTGTATTTTTATTGTAGTAAAAGAAAAAGGCTAGTTGCTAATTAGTTTAATCGGGATGCCTGCATAATATATGTTTTTAGTTAATTTTAAGTTAATCTTACGTTCACGAGCACTGTTTTATTTTATTTTCGGAAAGGGAGCGGCCATTGTAGTCCACCTTTGTACACCGTGTGAGGCAACTAGTCAATTATTTAATTTAAATGGAAAAAAACATCATCACGTACAATCATGAATGAAAATATAATTGATTTTATTTTATTTTTTTATTATGTGCCGTTATGTCCTTGTCCTTGTTATGTTTTATGTTTATGTTTGGGTATGTTACTTTGTTGTACCAGTATGTTACTGCAAATCGGATGCAACCATCGCGAATCTTATTGTAAAGAAACACTTCAGAACGGTTTAATTTCGAATGTAATAGTGAAATGAACCTCAATGTTTCATGCGCGTGTGTGATTGGCAAAACTAGCGTTCTTGCAGTTTTTCACGACCGGTCCACAACCGGACCGGGCGCAAATTGTGATTTTCCTGTTCCTAAAACAAAAAACAACACTATTAAAATTACGAGACGAATGCCACAAACCTGTGCGCATTGCGAGTTGCATACTAACTGCCGAAATTATAAGACTGCCATTCATTTACGAATAAATTCGATTTTGCGTTACGTCGCTTCGTGAGCACTTCGGTTGCGTTATCAAAATTAATGTGTTTGGATTTCTGAAGATCTTTTCGTTGCGTTTCCGTTTTGCAATGCACGCCATGTTTGCCAATTTCACACGATGTTATCAGCGGTGTACGTACACTTCAAATCACTTTTAAAAGAAATATACTTAATAAAAATACAGTTAATCAAAGTAAAATACATATTACGGTGGTGTAAATAATATGAATTAAGCTTTTCTCAAAATGCAATAGGTACTTGCGTGTGAAATACGTCAGCATGTAGTTGATATAGCATTTTGCACATATTGGATGTTAATTTTACGAAATAATACTGATAGTCATTTTCACTGTGTGCGCACCGCCTGATTAACTTATTAAGTTGGAATATTGAGGTAAATTGACGCTATAATCACATCAATATTATGATTACAAAAAATGGAAGTACTTAAAAAAAGTTAGCAGCAGATTAATACAGAAGCAGCATAACTCCTTGCAGATTAAACTTGGCTATAAAATAGGTTTTTTAGTAATAATAACTGAGAAGTCAGCAGCAACGCCCACGTGTCACAAATTACAGAATAATCTCAATAGTTTACGGATATAACTCTCGGCAATAGATAACGCATTCATGCAGGCACCGGTCACATTAAACCAGAACTACAATAACGGATAATCATCAACTTATGACTCAACTGAAACAATAGATAACAATAATCAATGACAGAACTAAACAGTATAAAAACAGTATCAAGTGATTGTTGCATTTGTTTCATGTATCAAAACTTAAAACAGGTTTTCTTAACATGAAATACTGCAACAATTCCTAATCACTTCTTAATTATTATTATAATAATTAATCTGTGCAACAGACACACACAAGACCTCAAAAATATACGGTTGGTTTTGACAATTCACAATCGATAAACAATTTTTCCGAGTAAACGAAACAGTTTATCACAATTATCGCCGCGCTAATAACAATAGAACACAGAAAATACAAAAAACCGACTTATAATTATCGTAACATAGACAAACAAGAGAATAAATAAACCAAATATACCCCGAGAAACAGATAGGCGCGGGACAAGCCCGCACCGTCTCAGCAAACTAAACAGGATACAATTATTAATTGATTCACATCAGATTGATTGATCACAGATCGATTAGAGGACTACCACCGGCGTGTCGCGTTTAAGTTCTAATAAGAGAAAAACGAACCGAAAAAGTCAAAATATTAATGGCGCACGCACGGTGCACAACCTGTCAAGCGCAGCGGCAAATTGTCGAAATGTATAGCATTTTATCACAATGCGACAATTTGCTAGAAGTATGCGACCACAGATGAATTCAGAAAATGTCCGCCTAGGCGTGTCGGAGATGGCCGCCTAGCGGATAGCGGAGGAATTACATTGCTTTCTGGATGAGACTGTAAGAAGTAATTTTTGAGGTCAATCCGAGCAGATTCCGACCCTGTTTTATTGAAAGCAGGGTTCAAGCAACAGTATAGGCGTAAATCAGTAGACCCCCCCAAAACTAACATACAAGCTCCCCCTACACACGCCGCCACTGCAGCAGGCACCACACATGGATAAGTACATGGTTTTTGGGTCCGTTTCTTGAATAATCGCCACCCACAATGTTTACACATTCACACCCATTAATATAATTAGTATTTACCCATTTTCGAGACTAATAATGCAATGTTTAATGTAAGTTTTTCATTTCTTTCTATTCCCGAGACCGACCGTAATCGGTGATATTTCTCGAACACATTGTATATCGTATCGTAAGAGACAAACAACATTTTGGCCGTTTTTTCATGACATAATGACAAGTATGTATACTATTCAACGAAGTTATATCAGTTCTAACGTCACAATTTTCGGTTGTGCTTTTGCGTTTTGCAACAAGTTTGGTTTTAAATATGCACACACATTCGGTAAAATAACACGACGCACGCACACCGCGCTTGCGCATGCGCAGCTCACCAGTGCCGCACATGTGCCATTCTTGCCCGGCATTGAGCGTGCGGCGTGTTGTCGTTTTCTACAGGGCGACTTCGAACTACAAGTCGTCGCGATATTTTGCAGGTTTGAAAAAATAATAACAATTCAATCAACAACTCTCAACATGTCGACACGAAAAGCAAGTGAGGAACTTATTCAACTCAGAACACTAAAAATGGCAAATGCGTTTTGAAACACTGTTCGGATTAAAGCTAAAATAAACGTTTAGGTCACCGGTTCAAAAACGATTTGATGAAAAACGATGAAACAAAAATGAGCAAAAAAATATCACGAAAAAAGTACAAGCTTATTTTAAGCACCTCTGCGCCTTAAAATTTTAAATGATGAAGAAAAAAATGATGATGAAAATAAAAAAAATTCGAAGCAAAAAATGATATGAGTGTGTATAAACCAAAATCTGCCTTATTCTATTTTCTTATGACGAAAAAAATCTCCTACCGTTATAGCGCAATTATTTGCTAGTGTATATCGTTCTTGATCACCACATTTAAACACACAAGTAAAACAACAAAAGCAACATTTATGGAAATTCACAAACATTAAAGGAAAAAAGCAAACGTAAGAAAACCCTTTCAACAAGAATTGATAGAAACAAAAGTATCATTACTCTATTAAATCACAAAACAAGCAAAAGTAAAAAAACACCGACAATTTTTATCTACTTTCCAGTAAAAGAAATTAAGTATCAAACTAATCTCTAGTCCAAATATGTACTAACATAGCATTTTGTGTGAGTTGTAGTATACATGTACAATTGTTGGTAATCCAAAGCAAAAGCAAAAAAGAAAAAAATCATAATAATTGGTAAAATGCATAAAAATAAAACGAATCGGGTGCCTCCGTTTCAGTTTGATGTTTTTGGTTTCATCTTCAGTTTCAAAATCAAACAATAAATTAGTTCGCAATGCACGCGGTGTTAACCGTCACCATTAAGTTACAGGAATAATACGCAACCAAACGTACACCACGTACGATTTATACGAGTTCAGTTCGAAAGCAGTCTGATTTTCAACAACGTAACTCACAGTAATAATCATAATCTATAACATGTTAACG